CCTCAAACAGGGGCTTTGAGGGGGCCCCCATGGGGGCCCCCCTTCATAGGGGCTCTGAGGGGGCCCCCGTGGGGGCCCCTATGGGGGCCCCGTATGAGGGTGAGGGTACTGGGGGCCCCCATTGGGGGCCCCCTGTTAATGCTCAGTCGGGGGCCCCCTCGAAAAGAAATGTCAATTCTGAAGAAGTGCTGAGGGTACTTGTTGTAGGAGAAGCAGCAACAGGAAAGACTGCGCTGCTGCAGCTGCTAGAGATGCATGCAGCTGAGTTGGGGGCTGCTTGCTTGGCACAGCAGCAGGAAGACCGCTATGGTGAGGTTGCTGCTGCTGCTGCTGCTGTTGCTGCTGCTGCTGCTGTTGCTGCTGCTGCTGCTGCTGCTGGGGGTAATGCTCTTGCTGCTGCGTTTCTTGACTGCTCACGATACCCTTCTAGTCCAGCTGAAGCAGCAGCAGCTGCTGCTGCTGCATTGTTTTGCATTTGCTGCTGTTGCGGATGCCCTGTTGAACGTGCAGTTGCTGCTGCAGTTGTTGTTGCTGCTGCTGCTAGTGCTGATGCTGCAGTTGCTGTTGCTGCAGTTGCTGCTGCTGCTGCAGTTGCTGTTGCTGTTGCTGCAGTTGCTGCTGCTGCTGCATTTGTTTCTGCTGCAGGTTGTAACGGCTTCTCCGAAGGAGACCCTGCAGCCTCAGCAGCAGCAGCAGCATCAGCAGCATCAACAGCAGCAGCAGCAGCAGCAGCAGCAGCACGGGAGACAGCTCGCAATAAAGCTGCTTGTCTTCCAGCACTGCTTGGCTATCACCGCACCTGTGGGGTTAATATAATGCCTTTGAGGTGTACAGACACCGCAGGCAAGAACTATTTGTTAGAGTTCTGGGAGGTAGGGGGGGCCTCAGCAACAAAAGCAGCTCGAACCCTTCTCTATGCTACGCCTTTTGATGGTGAGTCTAACGCTCTAGGGTTTAGGGTTTAGGGTTTAGGGTTTAGGGTTTAGGGTTTAGGGTTTAGGGATTAAGCCTTAAGGTTTAAACTTTACGGTTCAGGATTTGCGCTACATATGCATTACCGTTTGGGATTTAGGGTTTAGGGTTTAGGGTTTAGGGTTTAGGGTTTAGGGTTTAGGGTTTAGGGTTTAGGTTTGAGGGAGAAGGGCTCCTTAGCCACCGTCTCTGAAGATGCAAGAGAAGGTCTAGGGTTTAGAGTTTAGTGTTTTAGGGGTTTGGTTTGCTTACGACAGCAGCAGCGAAGCAGCGCAGCGCGGACTTCCTCGCTGGTTAGTTGAGTTATGTTTAAAGGCAGGTAGAGTGCCTTCTCAGGTTTATTTTATGCAGCAGCAGCAGCAGCAGCAGCAGCAGCAGCAGCAGCAGAAGCAGCAGCAGCAGCAGCAGCAGCAGCAGAAGCAACACCGTCACCACAATTGATACAAGCACAATGATCAGCGAGATCCACACACTTTGCATCTGCAGCAACAGATGCAGCAGCAGCAACTGCAGCAGCAGCAACTGCAGCAGCAGCCAACCAATCGTAAACAGCAGCACAGGCATCAGCAGCAGCAGCAGCAGCAGCAGAATTGTTGCTGTGTTTGTTTTATTTTATTTTGTTTTGTTTTTCAGATTGTTAGGGCGATATTGTGCAGTCGAACAAAAAATATGGGAGGCCTCGTACACTCCAGTGAGGCCCTAAACCCTAAACCCTAAACCCTACCCTAAAGCACAAACCCTAAACCCTAAACCGTATTTAAAACCACAAACCTTAAACCCTAAACCCTGAGGGGAGTCTCTTGAGCTGTGCTATCAAGGTTATATCATACGGAAGCATTGTACGCCCGCAGCAGCAGCGGCAGCAGCAGCAGCAGCAACAGCAGTAGCAGCAGCAGCAGCAGCAGCAGCAGTAGCACAGGCGGTTTGTTTTTGCTGCTGCAGGGGGAGCAGGAAGAAGTGCAGCAGTTGGCTTGTTCGCTTCTCAACGCTGCAGACGTCATGGCGACGGTATGCTGCTGCTGCTGCTGTTGCTGCTGCTGCTCTTGCTGCTGTTGCTGTTGCTGCTACTGCTATTACTGAGGCTGTTGCTGCTGCAGGCGCTTTCAGTGCTGTTACTGCTGCTGCTCCCTTTGCTGCTGCTGCTGCTGCTGCTGAGGCTGTCCTCCCAGACGGGGGGTGAAGTATATTTAAATGTATTATTTAAACTGCAGCAGCAGCAGCAGCAGCAGCGTTTTTGCTGCTGCTTCGTTTGCTGCAGCGCCGCAAGATATATTTTTGATATTTGTTTGTCTATCTGCTGTTTGTGCTTGCTGCTGTTTTCTTTGTTTTAACTTCTTTCTTCTCTCTTTGTCTCCTTACAGTCTGACCAAAATGTACATATATATAAATAAACAAATAAAATAAACAAATAACTAAATATATATATATATATATATATTTACATTGATAGACAAATGAATAAACAACTAATATATTATATATATACATATAAACAAATAATATATATATATATATACATATATACATATATATATACATATATACATATATACATATATATATATATATATATATACATATATATATATATGTATATATATA